TGGACACAGGAGAGGAGGGTAATTTGTAACATGCTGTGTTATTACCACAAACTAAACTAAGTGGCAGCAGTATTAATTCATTGGCATATACTTCAATTTTTTGTTTAAGATGTGTGGAGTACTGGAAAATAGCTCATTTATTTGTGACTTTTATGTTCTCCAGACTTTCCTGGGACTATACATATATAAAAAAAACACATATATATATAATTATTATATATATTTATGATGGTTTTTTTTTAATTCCTGGGCTTGATTGTTGGTGGCAGATGGGACCTATGTTCTCCCCTTCTATTTTTATGTATAGTATTTCTTACACTCAGAATCAGTTGGAAGCTAAACACCAGGCGAACTATTTGAGTAGGTACGTACCTCTTTAAATTTAGGCCTGTGCATATTTTCAGGACCTCATAAAAGCGGTGAGATGAGACACAGGATTAAATACTGTGGTTCATCCTGGAAAGTCTGTGAATGCCTAGGTTTTTTTTGGTTTTTTTTGGTAAATACTGTCCTACTCGCCTTCACCTCCCACCACCTTAACAAGTTTAGCATCCACCCATTCCCTGTGTTTCTGAAGGGCAGCCTTGTGTCACGAGTGTGTCTTGCCGCAATCCTAAGGTCCCCTTTGGAGAGCTCGTTAATTATGTGCTGTCTCTGTAAAGCACTCTCCAGTTATACCACCAGATACCTGTTGTTAAGCCACATTTATCTTTGCCTTCATTGTGGTTTTTTTCATATTGAATTCCCTTGCATCCCTCAGAGTTGTCATTTGTTCTTTGGTGTCTGATGTTTTACAGTCTCCTGTCCTGATTTTTCGTGAACATCTTTGTATCATAAGTAATAGGAACTCTTCGATTTTCTGTTCTTCTCCCAGACCACGTAGCCATAGCTGCAAGAGTAAAGAAAGCCAGTGGGACATGCAGTTTAAGAAAGAATCAATTTATTGTTTGGGGTTTTTTTAGGGGTAATCTTCATTTTCTAAAACATTAATTACTAAGCCATCTTTATAAATCTTGTTCTCTTTTCCCACAGGACTTGCAAATAGAACGAGAGAGGACTGTGTATAATATTTCTGGCGGCTGCACAGCCCTCGTGGTGGTGTATTTATTGGGGAAGCTTTACGTGGCAAACGCTGGTGACAGCAGGTGAGTAAGCACAGCATCTCCCCAACTACTTCTTCACCCTAAGTTCCCCAGATCTGATGTTATCAAGTTCCTTAGTTGCAGACAGTATCGCAAGAGGTTCTGGTTCTTGGCTGGACACTTAATATTTCTCATGGAAATTAATGCAAATGGTTGTGACAGGCTTCCAGTATCTTGTTGAGTGGTGGTTGAAGTCAGGGAGGTTAAAGACACTTCTGTCCCTGTGGTAGTTTCTGAATGACTTGATGGTTGCAGAAAAGTGGAAGGACACGAAAGAGCCATTGAAACGGAAGAGGTGTTGGGTGTGTAGTGGAATCGTGTGTTGAACACTGGCAAAGTGACCACATCTGGGACAGCTGGTAGGGCTGGACTATTTCAGTAGGAAGTCATGGGGCTCCTGTCCTCAGCTTTAGTCTTGGGAGGCCATCTGACTCTCACATTTTGATAATAATTGAAGGTAAACAAATCTGTAAACAAATAACTACTGCTCCTGCAACAAGGAGGAGGGAAGGGAGAGGAGGCTGTCACAGGTTGGGACTTTTACCGTGTCCTGTTCTAACTCATGTACTTGTCCATTTCTCAGGACTGAAATCTGTCATTCAGGAGTTGTTGCTCTGTTGTATTTGGAAGTTGGCAAGAAGCTTTTTCTTTGTCTTCTGCTTTAGCTAAAGCTAAGAGCATGTTGGAAATTTCTCACTTGCATTCTTTTTCCCTCTCTCACTGTCTGCCCACCATCAGAAAGAGATAATGAGGCTGTTCTTGCAAGACTTTAGACCTTCAGATGTTTGTTTTGGCAGCAGTCTGCATAAACAGGCCAGGGGGAACAGTTCCCCGCATGATGCAGACTGATGTCTTCTACTTAGCAGCTGAGAAATTGAAGTCTGCAAAGGTACTCAACCACCTTGTCTTTAGGTGAAAACTGCTACAGTTATGCATTTGTGTTTCAGCTTTGAGCGCACATAGTTCATGTTTGTACTGTGTCTGCACGATGTATTTGCACAGAGCAGTCAACCACAAAATGTATTGTAGTCTAAACCTGTCGTTTTTGTTGCCTGTGGCTTCTTTGAACTATGTAGGAAGTCAGATAAATCTTCTGTGCGTGAAGTTCCTCTTTTCATTTTGCTGATTTTTCTCAATAATGCCGAGTATGCTGTTTATATTGCAAATTGCTCACCTGGTTCTTCTTGATAAGTGACATATTTGAATTTTTTTCACATCAAATGTCAAATGAGTCCTCACAGAAGTTAGCTGCAAACATGTTTGAGCAGACCACCTGTCTAGTCATCAGAGTCACTAGCTGCACTAAGTTTTAGCTCTTTTGCCAGTAAATTAGAAATAATGTTTTTCTGTGCTGTTGTACTTGAAGTATGGTTGAGTTTCCTCCATCGAGTTGGCTAATTGCTTCTCTTTAAAGTATGCTGTGTAAAACTGGCCGTGCAGGACCTACTTCTGTGTAGCTGAGATCTTTGTTCTTAAAAGACTCACTGCTTCAAGGTCCCCTGGCATTCTTCCTAATTTCTGAGAGCAGCATCTGACACCCAGTAGGAATAAACTCATCAATGGTGATCTTGAATTAACCTAAGCGTCCGCTGTAGTTAAAGCCACTGGGTCTTGAATAGGCTTTGAATGTTCATCGAGCCCATCAAAACCATCTCTTCAGAAAAGCAGGAAGAGCAGGAACTATAAGGGAAGCCATCGGCAAAGCTACGTCCTGTTAGAACTAGAGCTCAATTTCTTCTACTTATTCCTTATGTCCTCTAGGTAATAGGATCCCTCCAGATCCAAAATAACTTGATGTTGCACTTTCCAAATGGACCTCACAGAAGCCTTCCTCCTAAATTCCCAAAACCTTTCACTTTAAAATAAGCCCACTTCTAGATTTTCATAGCTCAAGAAAATAAAAGCTTTAAAGTGTAGCGGATCAGTTGGTCTAGGCCTCTTTCCCACCTAATGCCCACTTCCCATGTTTCAGAAGGGGAGAAAAACAGCTATTGCAAAACATCTTAAGTTGCTTCTCATCACTGAAAGGACATTTTAAGACTAGAAAAGCAGCTCCGAGATTGTCCGCCTACTGCCAGGGTGCACACCGCATTCCTCTATATTTAAGAGCCCAGTCACGTAGCCAAGAAGTTTTATTTGTGTTCATTGGAAAAATATGTTCCTTTTTGCTGTCTTATGCCTTGTGTGGTCAGCTTCACAGTTTGCACAGCTACAAATAAGGATGGTGAGAAGTACAATAAGGAAACCACCTAAAAAAATTGTTTTTCTGCTCTTGAGAAGAGGGATGGTTTGTGTTTTTGTGTTTTTTCACCCAGACAGATGACTTGTGCTTGTTGCTGTTGGAACTAGGTGCCAAAACCCTCAGTCAGGTTTTAGTTTCTTTGAGTTCACCAACTTATTTGTGCCTCTTCTCTGTTCTCCTTCTCCCCTCTCTACTGCCCCACTGAAAAAAGCCTACAAATAAATCAAGCTACATTTCCCACAGACTAGAGTCTGTGAGAGGAGCTTTTGTGCTGCAGGGGTGGGAAATAAACATTCTGGGTTCACGCAAGCCTCATTTGTTCTGCCTCTGCCCAGAAGAAGGTTAGGTCTTTTCATTCCAGGCAAGTTCAGAACAGCAGAATGTTTTAAAGGTGAATTTTGAACAGCTCCTGCTGTCACAGGACCAAGGTACACGCAACAAACTGTTACTATCACTATGAAACTAAGGAAACACCAAGTGTGAGACTTGAATAATAATGTCCTATGCAATGCCAGCTATACCTCAGACTTATGTCTGCGGTATTCAGTTTAACCACCAAAGCTTCTCAAATCTAATCATTTCATGCCACGTACCCTGGCAGTGTTGTATAGCAGCTGTCCTTTTGTAGTTGATGTGTAATTACATCATGAAAAGACTTTAATTACCATATTACTAAATTACCAGCCAGCAATCCTTTCAGGTTCAGCCCTAGCTCGCTTCTATATGGACTATTAGGCTTCTCCAAGCTGAACACTTTTGGTTGGTGTAAAAGGGGGAAAAAATTGTGCTAATTGTAGGTTTTGTTATGAACTATTATTGAGCTTGATGTTATGGCATCACTAATGTCAATGATATAATTAAACTTCTGCTAATGATGCAATCACTGTTCTGTAATAATTATATGTTAACTGCACATGATACCAGAACCCTACTAAAAATGAGGTGATATATTCAGAGTGTGATAAAAACAACTTGGAGGGAGCCACTTTCATTCTCTGATGGCTTGTCTGATCATTCTTGGACTCTGCCATAAATACACCTACTTGTACAATCAAACTTCATGTCTGAATATTGGCCAAAGCTTTTTCTAATGTTTCTGTCTCTCTTTCTTCCTCTCAGTGGTTAGTATTGTCCGTGCAATGTTGTCTCCTTACAGACTGATAGTGCTATAGTCAGCTCTCCAGTATCTCTTCTGGTGAGCATTGAGGCACTGTGCTTTGCTTACTGGTTTGATGTGTACATTATGGTAACTAGGCCGGGCTTCTGGAATAGTTGTTTGGGTTATTTTAACAAGGAATAGTAAACCTTATCTGCTCGTTCTTCTGAATAGCATTGTTCAATTTTTTTATCGCTAACGTGACTTTTACTTCTAAACTGCAGTAACACCTTGTTCATCTCAGTTCTATTTAGTTTTATGCTCTTTGTTAGGCTGTTGTTTTATGCCCAGTGAAGAAGCCGTAGTAAAACGAGGACTTAATGTTTGTACTGATTACTGCCCAATTTCTGTACAGCCTCACGCAACGTAACATTTTCCCAGTATCACTACAGTGACTGTAATGTGATGTGACCGTATTGACTATCTTTGGCACGAGTGTTCTTCTGGCTTTCACGTCATCTGGCTAAGATGCTGCAGGCCCTGCCGTTTTGTGCTGTGCTGGAGCCATGGAGGGTAGCCGGGCTTTTATCATTATACAAGCAGCAGAACACCACAAGTTCATTTGACTTTTCCATAGGCCCCGAAACACTCACTAAATCTGTGATGGGTTCTTGGGCTTCTTTGGTTTATTGGCAGAACTTGGGATCAAAGCAAAGAGCCCGACGTTTCGGATGCTTCACAGACTTGCAGGGTTACTGGATTTTTCGTTTTGCTTCATCAGCTTTTTTTCATTGGTTTTATGCCTCCTTGATTTTGCTCCCCTGTGCCTACGTTCTCAGGGTATATTCACCCTCTGCTTGAATATATATCCTCATGTCCAGAATAGGTTTTCTTCTCCTTTTTTTGCTAGTGTAGAATTATTGTTAAGGCTTTTGAGATTGTTAAATGATGGGAGGTCATCGAGTGAATGCTTTTGTGGTGCTTCCCTGTAGGTGCAAGTTAAGAAACTGCATTGCTGCTTTTGCTGGCCAGGTTACAGAAGACTGTCTATAACACTGACTTCTCCCAATGTAATGAAATAGTGGACCAAAAATTGAAATCTACTTTTTTTACTATTTCAGTTCTTTCTGGATTTGCTGATCGTGTTGAGTCTCACTCCATTTATACTTCCTCTTCTGTACTATGGTGCTTGTCAGCTGCTTCCCTTGTGTGTAGTTCTCATTGCAGGAAGTAAACTTTGGGAGATTAATCGGCTTTTGTGAAGTAAATGAGAGGGGTGTGGAAACAGCCATGTATCTGCTGACTGGCACTGTAGCTTAAATAGAGTTTCTGAGAAGTCAGAGTTCTAACCCATTTTTGTGGGTCATGGTATCTGACCTCTTCCTCAAGGCACTCTTGCAGGGTGATTTTTGCCAGAAGCACTAACACTGTATAAGGATGGAAACCAAAGGATGTGCTGGTATATGACTGTTGCAGACCTAGTTTGCTTTAGTCTTTGGTTTACAGTATTTTTAAGAAACTTTAATTTTCTGATTTTCCTAACTACCCATCTAGATCAGAATCTAAATGGTGTATATTTTCTTCGTTTCCTTGAGTGGTCTGCCTAAGTCCTATCTGTCTCCATACATCTGTGTCTGTGTAAACAACAACAACTGTACTTCATAC